TCTTTTTTGTTAGTATTCCTAACAACACTGAAGAATAAGAAGCAAAAAAGGAGAATAGTTGGCTTGATAGGTAAAAGACCACATTAATCAGCTCACCAAAATTAATTCATATTTTTAAGAATTCAGTTAAGAAGACTTACTATAAAGTGTTTTTAAATAGAAAATGGAAAAATCCAAATCTATATTTTCCTACAAAAGATAATCAATTGCCTGTAATTACATTTCAGTATGATCTGAACACATAACTCACTCACTGCTCAGACTTAATTTTTTTTTATTATTTGTTTACTTATTTTTGTAGAAGAACTGTGGTATAGGCCAGAGCTTTGAGGAGAGAGAAGATTCACCAGAGACAGTGTGGGGAGCAGAACAGGCAGATCTACTGAAATACACTGTTGAGGGGAGCAGTGGGCAAGATAGGAGAGGTATGCCACATCATAAGGGTTGGCTCCCTGACCAGGGATCAAACACAGACTACAGCAGGGATAACACTTATAGCACTGATAGGTAACCCCTAGGCCACCAGGGAAGCCCTCCGTCTTACTTTTTTTTTAAAGATTAATTTATGTATGCTTACAACAACTGGGGGTACAGGCCAGAGGTGCAGAGGATGAGAGGATTCACCAGAAATTGAAATACACTGCTGAGGGAGCAGTGGGCGGGTCAGGAGAGCTCTGCTATACCATGTGGGTCATCTCCCCAGCCAGGGATCAAACTCTTGCTACAGTGGCTGCAGATTGCTTCATAGTGCTTTAACATGTTTCACCACCAGGGAGGGCCCAGCCTTACCCCTAATGACTGGCCATCCTTCTACATAAATCCTTTCTACCTGGGCAATCTGGATCTAGTTGTCACCAGGTCATTAGTTCCTCTCTCCCCTAGATTTAACCTAGACCTCCACTGCTTTCTGTAAGTGCACATACACATGTGCACAGAAACCACATCTTTCCTTTTCATGAATCCTCAGGGTAACTCTGCCTTCTCCATTTTGTGTGTTTGGAAGGAACGAAAGCAAAATATATGAGATGCCAATGCAATTTCTCCTTTAGCACAACTCTGCAGGACAATTACCCACCAAATCTGCCTGGTTTTATAGCTCTCATAACCCTCCTTTATGAACACAATGTGACAGGCGGATGTGGCCATTGATTATGGCAGCAGGCTTCAGCCCCATTCCTATTTAACTGCGAAGCGGAGCTCCTGCCTACCAGCCCAGCATTGATCATATGACTTTTAAAATTACTGTATTTATGTAAGCCTTTTTCCAGCCAGGGCCTGTGTCCAATTTTATCAAAAAGGAAGGATTGTGCTTGCCCTTCTCCAGTGGCTCTCTGGCTTTAGAGTCTAAAGTGTCTTGCTGGAACCAACTTAGGGCCCTTGGCTTTCTCAATAGAGGTTTGTGAAATCTGTGAGTGCTCAGGATGTACTCCCCCCCCCCCCCAGTATGAAATTGCTCAAGAAGTAGGTAATAAGCATGTTGGCAGATGCCAAGGGCATTTGGGGGCGTCTAGTGGTTCACAGGGCAGAAGTGTCAGGTAAATAGAAGAGCAGAGCTTGGGGTTGGGAGAGGGGAAACAGCGAGGACACTAGAAATGGGGTGTTCTGAAATTTGGGTAATTTGGAAATGGATTTAAGTATTACTGCTACTGGGCATCAACCTTACCAACTGGTTAGAACAAAATTATAGTTATTCCAGCTAGTGGGAGGACAGTTTAGTGATCAAAATAAATGCTGGTGACCTGGTGAGCAGTCGGTCTAGACGTAGATGTGGCTGATTGTGCCACGTACACGGCAAATCTGGTAGAGAAAGTCAGTAATTTTTGGCTGCTGGTACCGTTCAACTGAAAATCCCCCTGCAGGCAACCAGGTACGTGGTCCCACGAGGTTAGGGCCGTGGGAGTAACAGGCATAATCCACATGAAAACTTCCTAGACAGAGCACGAAAACCAAGGTGACCTGTGTAGGTAGGGGATCCGTTAGCCTAGTGACAGCTCTGCTAAAAGAAAGCCTGGAGATGGGCGTGGGAGGTGGAAAACGTGCGGGCCTGCCAGTACACACTGAAACGCGCCACACGTGTGAGAGCAGTCGGCGTCAGGGGGCGCTCGGTCTCAGCAGGCTGGAAGCGGGCCCCAGTAGGACGCACCGGGTTTTCTTTTTAGCAACTCCAAGCTAGGATCCACCCCACTCCCCACCCCCCCTTTACTAGTATATTAGAAATAGGACGGAGTCAAATAAATGTATCCCTTTCTGGAATTTTTATCCTCGCTTTTGCGGGTATAATTCCTAAGGAGGCGCCCCTCTGCCACCGCTTTCCTAATCCGGCCTTTCCTGGGCGTGGCTTGTGGGGCCCGCCCACTGGCCCCGCCCCTCAGCCGTTCCGGGGCGGGGCTCCCCTCGGCTGCTGCCTGCCCTTTCCCTTGCGGCTTCTGTCGGGACTGGTGTACCCTCCCCTAGCTCCGAACACGTGCGGGTGAGTATGGCTTAGGTGGGGAGAAACCTTAAAGGTTTAACTTTCCAGGGCGAGAGACAGCCGTGGGGAGGTTCTGCTGGGACACGGGACGAAATTGAGGTCCGTTCCCTTGTAATCCTGGGTTTGGAGGGCATCTTGAAGGAGCGCTGGGAGATATGTAGCCCCCGCTTGGCCCCCTGTTCTCTCCCATCCCTCTTGTCCGTGGAAGCAACGATCTCGGCCTCGGAGATCCTTCCTAGCCAGGCGTGAGGGGCCTGGAGGTGGTTTGTGGGAACACGTGTCCGGGTGGAGCTCGGTGAGTCCCTTCAGCTCAAGCCCGGGAAAGGGACCGACTATGGGCAAGTCACCTGATCTCTTTAAACGAATCTATTTTTAGATTAGCTTTCGGACCTGAGCGTTGACCCTCTAGTTTCCTTCTAAAATGTTTTAAGACGGTTAGGCGTGAAATTGGGGAAGAGCCGGGAAAAGGTATGACCTTAGACACCCTAAACCTTATATAATTAGGGTAAATGATCGGGGTGAGTGGGTGGGAGTGTTTTTCTTGCAAACATTTTGTTTATTGCTTTCAACCAGTATTTGAGATCCTTGGTAGGAAGGGCAAACTAACTGCCTCTCGTTCTTTCCATGTCCATTACTGCATCTTTATAAAGTGCTGCTTTCATTCTTAAGGAAGGTCCCATAACCTAGGCCATCCCCAACTAGCTTTAACCAACCTTTACAATTCCACTGATCGCTGGGATCACTTTACCTTTTCCACCTGATATTAGTAAGTGTTAAGTTAAATTTGCCGGTGTAATCAGTATTTAATACTGATACTATCATAATTCATTTATATTCTATTAAAGCCTTCCGACCAATGGTTCTGTGTACAGAGAACTATTAATCATCCCATTTTACAGATGGGAGACCAACATAAAGAGGTCAGGTGACTTGCCCAGTGTCACTTGGTAGTTGAGCAATACTAGAGCAAACTTCTGTATGATACATGGGACCGATTTGCTCCTGTTGGAGTGGTGTGGTACATAAATACCAAAGGACGTGTGAAAATAAGGCTAACCAAGGGAAAGCTATTTTGTCATCTATTTCTGGGGCTTCATTAACTTACGGAGTTACAAGTGTCCGCTAACTGATCGCTAACCTGAGTGCTTTGATTGCAGAGGGGCCAGCTGTGGACTTTGGTCAGATGTGGTCCCAGGTGAGTGCAGCTCCATTATCCTAACTGGCCCAGCTGTAGGCAGCTGCCTAGGTTGCCTTGTACCTAGGCAAGTGTTACACTGCTGGGAGAGCAGCAGCCTATAGCTGGTTGGCATTCTGGGCCTGGTTCATGCCAACTCTCTTGTTAACTGTACCAGGATGCCAGCATAGTTGCTTGTACTTTAAGGTTAGACCTGCAGGAGTATGGCTTTATAGGGAGAAACTTAAAAACCTGACTTAGATTCTGAGTAGTTCTGGTCAGACAGGCTTGACTAGTATGATGCTACATGAATCATACCTTGGAAACAGAATAAAGGTAACTGAGCCATGGGAAGGATGTCTAAGATAGTAAGGGACCTTATACCGGGAAGAAATCCCTTTTTTAATGGGATTTTTGCTAACTTCACTCAAGTCAAAGTTCATGATTCCCACTCTCCTCTCATAGAAAACTAGTCAGAATGATCACTTTGTACAAGCTGGAGTTTATTTACCTTTGGAAATGTCTTAGTAGGGTAATGTTTGTGTGAATTTGCTTTTAAATTATAGGTATTTTCTAAGTCTAATAAAATGTAAAAATAGCAGTTGATTTAGAGGCTGTAAGTAGTATACTTAACCACAACTGGTGAATTCTCCTTAAGGCTGACAGTACATTTATACTGGTTTAATACTGATTTTGGGGAGTGAATAAAATTGTTGCCCCTTACAGAGGTAAATTTTGAGTATTCTTTTCTTAAAAGACAGGCTTCTCAGTTCTAAGCAAGCATTGATGACTTGGGGTGATTGCTAGAGATTATTCTATAGGGTTGGCTTAGTTTCTGCTTCTGTGAAAAGTGACATTCTCATTTCCATAGGAGGAACTGTTACGGATATTAAAAAAGAGGTGGGAGTTGTTTATCAAAGCTACTTTTTAAAGTGGCATTTGGCTTTCCCTTGAAAAGGGATGCTGTTAGTTAACTGTTGAGTGCTTAATGAGAATACCACAGGTGTTCATTGATAAATAATAGCTCTTTGCAGATGGGTAGTGGTGGTTTTCTTTTTTTTTAATGGAGGAGGGGAAAAAAGAGACACCTGCATAGACACAGATGGCAGTCTTATGGGAAAAGAACTGTCACCCTTTACATATAGATTTATTTATAAGATTAGCGATATCACTAGAGCCTTGGGATGGCAGTCATCGACAATATGGGAAATAAAATAATTACTAAGGATATTAAAAATGTGGTTAATCATAAGTGGCAGACAGCCTTCTGTTTCCATCTACAGAAAAGTGGCCTGAAGAGTTGCTATTTTAGACTTGAGTGTTGCAACAGTGAACTCTTTCTCATTTTAGGATGATGTGAAAGTAGGGCAGCCTTGGCCCTCCTGAAGAGAGGAAGGAAATTAGTGGCAGGTGGACTGTTGGAATGGCATTTTCAGGTAAATATCCCTATTCATTCCAATACTGACTGCCCTCCTATGTGCCAGGCCTGATTGCTTGTTAATGCCCATCAGAAACAATTGGTGGGGGGGGTCTATTTTTGTACCTAACAAGTTGGGCTATGGGGCAGGGAAAAGCTGAATAGGATTTTGGTGATTATAGTCCTGAATAGGATGTAAGGATCTGTGAAATTGTTTGTGTCTTTCCTTCTGGGGAATTTATAGTAAGTTTAATTCCATGAGGGGAAGGGTAGTATATCTTGCTTTGTTCTCTGCTGGACCCCAAGCACAATGTCTGGCACATAATGGGACCCCCTTGAATGTGAGGAAAATGAGACGTAGAGAAAGGATTCCTGTTTCCTATTTGTTTAAAGGATCTGGCAGCAGGTTTCAGGCCTCTGTGCAGTCAATGTTCAATTCATGGGAATACCCATATTCATGTCTTCTGCTGGGGTACCTGGGTATCTGAAACACATGAAAGCGCTTTGAAGAATCATCCAGCGGTTGTCAGCTGTCCAGGCTAATGTGATGCCTGGGATGGTGTTACACTGTTGGAAGAGCAAATGCTGCCTTTATTAAGGTCTGGCTTCTAGCACTGTTTTGGTGTTGGGGCTGAATACCTTTGGGCAGTGTTTGGCACCTCTGAGAGTGGAGTATCTCCTCCTGTGGAGTTAGTCCTAGTCTGGGTGCAAACAATTTTTTTTTTCTGTTAGAAAAGACCCTATCTTAGATACAGCTTATTTATTCCTTTACTTTTTGAATCCTAGATGCCTTCACCTGGGTGAGAAATCTGTCTCCATCAGGACCTCAGATGTCTGACAGCCCTGTGTAACACATGTAATGTATGTAGTGCTTTTGTTATGTAGGTCCTAATTAACTTGCTTCAGCTCAGATGGGTAGTGTGAAATAATGGGAAAATATGTGTGCCTATACACTAGTCTCTGCTTCTAGTTCCTGCACAGAGCTCCTAAAATCCCTATAGTTTCTTAACCTGTTAAAAACACTTAGGGCACACTTTGTACTAATATTTGGTCTTTGGCTATGGTTCCTTGTTGTAATGGGATCTGGTTACCAGAAAGACCAAGCAACAGTTATAAGTTTGGAATTTTCAGTCCCCTCCCACCTTATTCTCCAGAAAGGGGAGAGCTACAAGTGAAAGTAATAACTGATTATGACTCATAATGAAGCCTCCATAAAAATTCCAGTAATATGGACTGCAAAACATTTTCCAAAAGCATGGAAGCTAGGTAACCCTTCCCACATGTTTTGTCCTGTATATCACTAACACCTGTTAGTTTTTTCTTTTACAACTGGTAAGCAGTAAGTAAAAGCTACTTTTCCAAGGTTTGCTACCCTCTCAAGCAAATTAGTTGAACTTGAGAGGGCTAAGAGGGGCCTCTTACCTATAGTTAGTCTCTGTTAGTCTCTGATGATATTCTGGACTTGTGAAAATCTGAGTTAAACTGTAGGGCACCCAGCTGGTGACACACATTGACTCGATATGGGGAAAATCTGTCACACATCTGGTATCAGAAGTGTATGGTGGTATATGAAAGTAAAGAAGAAAAGCAGGTAGATGTGAGGTTTTCTTTATAGGTGGAAAACAAAATTCTGTTGTTAAAATTACCAAAAGTATCAGAATTTTAAATACTGTGACATAGACGAAGTACATGACAAACTGCAGTGGCTATGTAGACTGACAAAATTTAAATAAAAATTTTCCACCCTAGTAGCTACCAACATTTGGCTAGTGACTACCATATTGAGTAGTTCAGAACATTCCACCAATGCTTTATGTTTCATTTTACATTGTTGTTCTGGTGCAGAAGTTGGCAAACTGCCAGATGATATTTTAGGCTTATGCAACATAGTCTTTGTAAAACTGTTCTGTTGGTAACTACTGCAGTTGTAGTCTGAAAGCAGCCATAGACAGTATCAACAAATGAACATTACTATGTTCCAAAACAACTTTATTTATGGATACTGACATTGAAGTTTCATTGTTTTCACTGTTGAAACAAAATATCCCACCACCTCCATTCTAAGCTTAAGGGCCTTTCAGAAACAGGTGGCAGGAAGGGATTGGCTTTCAGGCTATAGGTTGCCAACCATTATTCAGGTATTCAAGTTTCAGTGACAGCTTCAAAGCTGGTACCAGTATGTCATCCTGAAAAACTCTTGTTATTGATATGTGGCCTTTAATCACATAACTTTATATGCTACATCTTTTTTTTTTTTTTAGGATTTTATTTATTTGTACATACAGAACTGGGGTACAGGCCAGAGGTTCAGGGGTGGCGAGAGGCTTCACCAGAAATAGAGTGGGGAGCAGAACAGGCAGATCGAGGAAGTACACAGCTGACGGGAGCAGCCGGCGGGTCAGGAGAGGTCTGCCACGCCATGTGGTCACCTCCGGGGCAGGTGGGAATCGAACTCATGTGGAAGTGGCTTTAGCTTCTCAGTGCAGTGCTTTTAACCTGCTGCGCCACCAGGGAGGGCCTTATGCTACATCTTTTTAAAGGACTGGGGTAACTTTAAATTATACATTGGTAGAATAGCCCTTTTTGTGTTTGGGGCTTGTTATGTATGCTATTTGCATGGATTACTTTGATTATGGTATTCTTTACACTTTCATATGCCTAAGGGAGCGATCCTAGGAAAGAACAGCAGTCTTCACTTTCCAGTAGAGCCTGATCACAAACTCAGTCCTAGGCTGTGAAATGGCTCTTCTGTAAGGAAGAGGGAAAATCCTGGATCTCAAGTTTCTCTGAACATAGATTGCCTTACTGACTGACCATGTAAGGCTACCATAGCGCAAAAAGAGTTCCCCATGCAGCTACTTGAAAAGAGATAATTCATTTGGTGATTGTGCCTGTAATAGTTGCAATAGTTTAATCGTGCATATTAAAATAATTAATGGGGGCTCTCCCTGCTGGCACAACGACTTAAAGTGCCACATTATGAAGCACTCTGAAGCCCTGCAGCATGAGTTAGAGCCCCCACCAGGGCGTCAACCCACATGGCCAAGGCAGACCTCTCCTGACCTGCCCGCTGCTCCCCTCAGCAATGTACTTCGTCAATCTGCCTGTTCTGCTCCCCACTCTGTCTCTGGTGACTCCTCTCACTGCCTCTCCCCCTCTGGCCTGTACCCTAGTTCTGTAAGCATAAATAAATCTTTTTTTTTAAATAGTAATTAATAGAATTTTGTGCTTGACAAAGTGAACTTAATTTAGTTATCTACTGCTCCCTGTTGATTTTATTTCCTGGGAGTGTCCAAGGTGAAATGAAACATTTCACAGTATCCCTGTTCTCTTTTTCTATCCAGTCCCCATACCATAATGGAAACAAATTGAATAATTGGCAGGGTTACTGATCTGAGTGAACGTCCAAGTTGCCATCATGTAGGAGTAAAAATACAAGTGCCCCCTCTTAAATTCCTCTACTTAAATTTCAGGCCCCTATAATTAAGAGAAAAAAAACCAAAAGTAAAGTTGAATAGGCAGCCCCAAGTATTGAGTGCTATGTCTGGCTCCTCTCAATTTTTCTCCCTTTCAGGGCTGGAAGAAACTATAGTGATGAAATTTTGGATCACATCTCAGATTTTAATCAGGAAAACAAAACTCAGAGGAATAAATTTTGCAGGCCCCAAAGGGACACAAAGAGGTGGCACTGTGCCTAGGGTTTCACACAAAGGAAAACAACCTGGTATGAGCAACTAATTAGGAACTTAAAAGAATGACAATGACTCCTGTGAATCTTATTACTTAATTAGGGCTTTATGAACAGCTCCCTTTAATGAACTTGTCAGTATTGTTTTGGAAACAATTTCACTGAATTAGCAAGTCAACTATAATACTCAGAATATCTGCTTGATAACATCTTTCTCTTTACTGCTATTTAGAAACACATTTAATGAGCCTTCGTTCTGGATCATATATTTCTGTCTATTGTCCTAAGTTCTGGTTCAAAAGGTTCCCTGTTTTCTAGTAAAGGTCCTTTAGGTTGTGAGAATATTTGTTTATTAAGTGTACTTAGTACCTAGGAAAAGGGTAATGAAATGGCATTAAAGTTTATCTTAGACTAGTTTGATTTAAAGAAAATTTAGGATAGCACAAAGAATTCCATGTTACCTAACCCAGAATTTCCTAATAATCATGTATTATATTAGCGTAGTTAATCACAGTTAAGTTGGCTGATAGCAATACAATATTATTACTAAAGTCTATAATTTATTCAATTTTCTTAGATTGTATTTTTCTGAGCTCAAAGGATTTTGAGAAAAAGACCACAAAAAAGCTATTCTCATCACATAAAATGATACGCACTATCAACATGGCATTACTGTTTATATTAACTTTGATCATCTGGCTGAGATCTTACTTGACATGCTTCTGCACTGTAAAGTTACTCCCTCACCCCCCTACCCAATACTGTATTTTAGCAATGAGGTCACACTGTTCAGCCCACATTTAAGGAGAGGGAAGTTGTGTTCTTGAGGCTTGAAGTCTACATAAGCTACTTGAAACTCTTGAGAAATGAATTGAACTCCACCCCTCTTATATTCAAATGACCAAATGCCATATGGAATTGTGGGTATTTATAATAGTATAATAGTCCTATAACATTTTCTTTTGTTCAGATATTCCGACTTTGTTATTGGGAGCACTTTTATGCATACAAGAACTGGGGTGTAGGGTGTATGGTGGGGGTGGGTGGGTGAGAGGATTCACCAAAGACAGTGGGGAGTAGAACAGGCAGGTCTACTGAAATAAACTGCTGAGGGGAGTAGGGGCAAGACAGGAGAAGTCTGCTGTGCCATGTGGGTCAGCTCTCTGACTGGGGATCAAACTCAGGCTACTGTGGCTGCCAATAGCTAGATAGCACTGAGACTTTAACCCCTGTGCCACCAGGGAGGCCCCTTTAATTGCTGTGTTTAAGTACTTCTCAATTTATGGCAATATGAAATATAGGCAAATCGTATATATTCCTGTCTTAGTCCTAGACCCAGAGTCAACCATTTGTCCAATGCTCCCAGGTTTCTTAGAGAATGGTACACAGGAACCAAGCACTGGGCATTTAGACATGTTCTCGATATAAAGGTGTAGCCACTCCAAGGCCCTGTTAAATGACAGGACAGTGTAGTATGTGTGTACTCTGCTAACCAGGGTGTTTTTTAGTTTCATTGCCTTATAAACACTGTGTTTAAAATATACAACATGTTTTATCTTCAGGCCTGTTTATTTCATCTAGAATAGTGGTCAAGCCTGTTATCTTTCATGGTGGATGTTGTAGCCCTCACATGACTTATTTTTGCTCTGTGAGATCATAATAAGGGAGGAGCCGTGTGCCAGCCCTACTGTCCTAAAGAGTTGGAGGAGAGCGGAGATGCACTTTACGTATTTGGGCTTTACCCGAGTGGCAGATGGTAGAATATACTCTCCATCTCCTCACATGTAATCCTGTAGAGGAGAACTGCTGTGGTTAAGTAAGGCTGCAGCATGTTGGCCACCCCAGCTACTGGTAGATTAGATGTGAGGCGATAAACAGAAAGGGAGAAATTGCAAAATAGGAAAGTTCCAGCCTATACACCCTGCACTCTCCAGGCAGCCATTTACTACATACTTCTATGGGCTTCCATTTCTTAGCTTTGGATAGTAGAACCAGATCATGATCTGTTCCTCCAGATGACTCTACATGTTTAATTTCTCAGAACCCTAGTGGTCCTCTCATGTGTGTGATATCTCCAGAGGTAAGAGGCACAGACAACACATATGCAAAGTAATTGTCTTGTCAAAAGATTGCTCATTTAACCCATCCCTTTTTTATGAGCTTACAGCTAGATGTTGGAGGTAAGTGATAACATGAGACATAGACTCTGCTCAACGTAACATGACCTATCAGGCCTTGCAGTCTAGCCCTTAACTCCTATCATCTTTCCGCAGATTCCCTTAGAGCCACACTGATTTCTTTAAGTCCCTGATAAACCTTGCCTACCTGGTCTCCTCACATGTTAACCTTTCTGGTTCCAGTTTCCTTCTCTGCTTCCTCTATGATCACAGTTCAGAGAGCTTTTACAGATAAGCTATCTGTCCTGACTGACTGAGCACCCATTATATGTTACTGTACCATGTTTTACCACAGCTAAGCACAGATGCCACCTAAAGGTCCTTTGGAAAACTTCTGACAGCTGGTGTCTGTGTGTCTTAATGGGTCCAAAGTAGAGTAAGGCCATGAGCCTTAAAATAATTGTAAGACATTTAAAAATTCCTCAAGATTGAGATTGGGGGTGACACTGGATTCCCTTTTTAGCTCTCTCTATATAGTGATTTATACATGCTAAATTAGAGAAAGTCCAATAGATACACTTTATAAATAAACTAATAACATAATACATAATAGTGTAATAATCTTTCTAGATTCTCTCAACACTATATCGAGATTATTTGCAACTAGTTGATCTCAGTAAAAAATTACATGCTAGAATGGCTTTTTGCTCAAGTGCTGAGTCAACACTGCTAACCTGTTAAAGTATACCTTCCTTTCCAAAAGCCAGTACAAGTTTAATGTGGAAACCCTAGAATGTTTCTATTTAAAAAGGTACTATCTCAAGGGAAATTAGTCAAGAAAAGGAAATAGATGTATTTATACATGGGGAAAGGTAAAATTCATTTGTAGATGCTAAGTTTACTTGGAAATTACCTAGGGCTGTCAAGTGAAAATAGTTTATTTAAGTAGCAGGTAATCAGTTTGAAGATAAACTGGGAAGGAATCTAAAGCTAGGAATAATTAAGGAGACATGGCCCAGTTATATATGAAGATAGATACAAATGAAACTTTTAAGTGGTGATACTGTATCCAGGAAATGACAATATAAAATTCAGTTCTAAAGAAAACTTTCACAGTTTTGAAGTTTCTAACAATATCAAATAGGATTATTTTTAGGACTAGGCAAATTCTAGTTCATGTGGATCCTAACATCCATATGAAAAAATTAAGAATAAACAATGTGCAAAATTTTAAAGTCAAAGAAAGACTACCCTTATCAGATGTGAAAATATCAAAGAAATTGAGACAGTAGTAATGCATCTGAAAGGATTATTTCATTGATAGAAAAGACAAAAATTTTTTTTACATAGTCATGACTTTGCCTTCTAACTTAAAAACAATGAATCTGTAGAAAGGAATGGTGGGTTTTGTTGTGTTTGTTTTTTTTTTTTAAAGAATATGGTTTGTTGTGTTTTTAATGAATGGTTAGATTTTTTTAAATTCCTGTATGGAAAGATACCATGAACCATTCCTCTTCCCTCCCCCGGAAAAAAAAAATGGATAAAAAGATGTTTGCCAATGGTTAATTTTTCCTTAATATAATTTTTGTAAATCAAAGGTAAAGCTGAATAATCCAATAGTCAAAATATACGAACAGTGAAACGATAATACTTACAGCCAGTTAAATAAAGTCTTTAGTTGAGGTTCCATTTCTGACAATCAGATTGTCAGCTAGGTTTTGATAAGTTAACGGAAAAAGGAAATAAGCCTTTGTATGATGGTATAACCTTTAAGAATAGCAATCTAGTTTTTAAACTTAAAAATGCGTGTATTCTAAAGCAATCCTACTGCAAGCAAGAATATTTTGTGAGGAACTGAAATCCCAATTTTAATGTTTTTTGGAACACAGTCATGCTCATTTATTGTGTGACTGCTTTGCAATGTAATTGCAGAATATTTCTGATATAATTTTTTGGCCCTCTACAGAAATTTTGCTGGCTGTTGCTCTAGAACAGCAGTGTATAATAAAAGTTTCTACAATGACAGAAATGGCCTCTACATTGTCTGTTAGCTAAATGAAGGCAATATCAAGATGGTGAATGTATCTTATGGCTGTTGGATGGTACAGCTCTAGAAAATGAGGGGAACGCTGTGTAATCTTTTAAAAATAAAGCTTTGTTTCATGTATTATTGCATAATAAGTCACCTTAATGTAGCAGTTCAAATAAGTATTAAAATTCCCTGGGTTGATTGGGCTCGGCGGGGTAGCTATATGCCATATGCATTTGCTAGCTGTTGGTACTTGCTGTCACCTGGGACCTCAGCTGGGGCTGTTAAATGAATTACCTTTGACTCTTCTGATGTGTTCTTTACATAATGGTTGAAATTTTCACAGTAAGGCAGCTGGGTTTTAAGTGGATGAAAAGATCTTCAAAAGTTAGAGTTCTTCTGAGAGCAGGTTAAGGGGGATTTCATTTCTCTGAGAAAGTGATAAAGAATCTGTCATCATCTTTAATTCATCATAAGAATGTACATATAAACTGCACACAGATACAAAATGTTTATAGGAAAAGCTTAAACAACAAATGGTAGATGTAGTTAGCTTTTTATGTAGGGAAAATAGACATTAGGGGAAATTTCCCACTATTTGAGTTTTATTGTATATTACCTATTTAGAAGTTCCTTTTTAACCCCCATATACCCATGAAAGAACTACTGGTTAAGTTTTCTGTTAAGTCTATTACATATATAGTGGACCAGTAGATTCTGAGACCTTAGTTGCTTCAGGCAATAAAATATAATGGTCAAAAGCTCTGGTTTTGTATTTATATAGAAATGGGCCCAGGACCTCCCTGGTGGCCTAGGGGTTAAGTATCAATGCTGTCACTCTTTGGCCTAAGTTAGATCCCCAGACAGGGAGCTAACCCACATAGTGCAGCAGACCTCCCCTGCCTCATCAGCTACTGTTCTCAGCAGCCTGCTCTGCTCCCCACTTCATCTTTGGTGATTCTTATCACCACCCCCACCTGTGTCCTACACCCCAGTTTCTCCATGCAAAAATGAGAAAAATAATAAGAAAAGAAAAAATGGGCTCAAATTTTGGCTTTATCACTACCTAGCTGTATAATCTTAGGCAAGCTTCTTAGTCTTATATACAATGGGATTACTTTGCCCTCAAGATTCTATTAATGTCAATGCATAATCAGCTGATTGAGTAATTGGTGTCCAAATATATGTCCTCAAGATGTCCAAGTTAAAAAAAACATAGAACATTCACATAAGCTGAAATCTAGACTGAATCCTGGTATTTAAGTGTTTGATAGCTGTAACAAACTTGTTAATGAGCAGAAGTTTTTTTGTCTTGTGACCTCATTCACCATTTCTAGTGCATACCACCCCCACTCCCAAGTAACCCAGATTCAAGTGCATCCTTATCCACTGCAGCTAGGCCACTTTGATGCCTGACTTCCTGTCTATTTCAGATATCCAGTACTTCAGCAGCTGTGATTTGTCTTAGCCATCCTTGTATCCCCACCCTTGTACACTGTTGTCTTTTGGCTGATGGGCCATTAAGCAGATCTTTAATAAATATTTACTCAATTGAAAAAGCTTGACTTTTCTTCTCCACTCGATCAGTAGATGGCATTACAGTCTTACATAAAAGTACGGGTAAGTGCATATCTGAACTAAGATGCATTCATATTTGTCTCTAAGAAATTGAGCTTTTTGATTTCATATAAGATCTGGAAACAACACTGGAGGGAATTTTAGCCAAAATGAATTGGAGTAATTTTCACAGTGTAGAAAGCAGATCAGTGGAAGGAAAACTGAATTTACTGAAGGACTAGCACCCCAAAATTTCATTCCAAAACTATATAGTGGACTTAAACTACATCCTTGGGAGTCCCAGCCCTTGAATTATACCAAATGCCTTCCAATCTGGAAAACCCTACACATGCAGATGCGGGGTTACCCTTAAACTTTTTCACAGGAGATAAAATTTCCCTTCCTGCAATTCCAGCCCTCTCAAATTAGAAAAGTCTAATTTCCAGTTTTTCAACCACACTAGTGAAGCCTCAGCCCTCTCTTCTTTATACTTCATAAAAGTATGTTTACTTTATTTGGATCCCGCTATTAAGCATGTACATTATTATCCCTTTTCTGTTTAATTTCAGACCTTTCCTAATATGTATCTACCAGCATTAATTGTGCACAGTTACGCTCCTCAAAGCTGCCTTCTGTATATTCTCCATAGCCAACCCTCTTCTAAAAATTGGACAAGTTTTCCATCTTCCTTTTGGCCATATGCTCAGCACTTAGTCTGACTTCCCTTGCACTTGACTAGAAGCAACTCAACAGTGATGTCCATGTTTGCTAAGGCTTGCACATGCTTTTAGTCGATTTTGACCCTGCTGATTAAGGCAACACAAGTTCGATTTCTTCCCCCTCTTCATAATGTATGTGTATACATAGAACTTTTTTTTTCCTCCTGAGTTGTGTGTGCACTTGGTCACCGTGATTTCTTCTAAGATTTCGTTTGGTTCTAAGGCCTGTTTTAACCATACTATCTCCAGGTCACCTTTCCACTCCCATTGCTCCTTTCAGGTGATCAGCAAAATTGTCCCTCATCCACAGTTTCCCAATATAACTACTAATGTAAAATGGATGTCAGGCTGAACTTACCTTACACCATCCACAGCTGATCCTCTTCCAGTACTCCTTGGCTTAATAGCATTGCTGTGTTGTCATTAGTTCTTGAGACTTCCAATCAAACTTAACAAGATTTGCTTCTTGTCCTAAATGATTTCTTCAATTTTCGACTGGTTTCTGGCCTAATCCATCTTTGTCCCTTCCACTATCCTTCACAGGAGGGCTAGAATGATTTTTAAAGATGCAAATTAAGCCTGATTCAGCACACACTAAAATGGGACTGCTCTTAATCAGGACTTACATTAAATAATTCACGCAAGCTTCACTCGGGTGACTGTTAGTCTGGCCCTCTGCATTTGTCTACCTCAGTGTTCTCGCATGTGCTAGTTCTAATGCTTTTCTGGAATCTGTATCGGCCTCAAGAACGTTTTACATACAAATTCACCAAACGGAGGTCTTTCTCGATGGCGAGCTCACTGCCACCTCAAAGACCTTCCACGGAATTTCAGAAACCAACCGAAGTGGTATCTCATTCCCCTTTCCTAGCGCTTCTGACCACTCCCCGCCAAATAATCAGAAAACACCTAGAAAGGAGAGTTACCCGGTCACAGCTAGGGATGCTGCCGCCCAGTTTCTAATACATTACCCGACTCAAACTTGGGGCCGTGCAATTTAGAGGGTGGCTAACGCGTTTCTGTGGAGCGGGACTCGAACTCTTAAGAGTGGCTGTCTCTCCATTTCCCGCCACCAGCGGGCTCCAGGCTGACAGAACAACGACCGCCGCCTAGGGCGCGAGCGTCGTGCGCGCGCTGGGGAGTGGGAGGGGCCTGGCTCGCTCAGAAACGGGGCCCGAGGGGGGGTGGGGGCGAGTTCTCTCGCGAGAGTGGGTTTGTTCTTGGGCTGCCGCCACCGCTGCCACCTCTTAACAGCGCCGTTGCTGCGGAGGATTGTGGGAGCCTCCGCGTCCCGCTCGGTAGGAGAGAGGTATCTCTCCTTTCCCCTCTCCCTTTCCTTAAGGTAGGCGTGAAGCGGGTAAGAGTCGGGGTGGGGTGGCCGGGGCTCTGCGTCCGCCGGGAGGAGGCAGCGACGGCGACAGGGGCCGCGGGGAGCCGGCGGCGCGCCTTGCTCGCTCGCTCCCGCTCGTCTGCTCTGCCTCCCTCCGCGCTGCGTATGTGAGCCGCCTGATCGGCGGCCGCCATGTTAGGAGCGCAGTGGCGGCGCAACCAGCCTCCTCGGGCGGCGGAGGTGAGCGGTTCCTGAGGGAGACAGGCGAGCAGTTAGGGCCCGGGGTGAGGCGGGACAGTCGGGGGGGTGCGGAGGGCAGGCGATCGGCCGAGCTTCCCGCGTCTTGGGCTGGCTGTGGGCGGGGGCGGGACGACGAGCCCGTTACACGCGGACTAGCGCTGAGGAAAGGTGGAGCGCGCGAGGCCTGAGGGACCGACTGTCCACAGGGGACCTGCCGTTTGGGGAGCAGAGTAAAGTTCGCAAAGCCCTCGGATAGTGCCAGTCCTAGATAGGTTTGTTCTGTTCCCCTGTGCGTCTGAAATGTACCCCAAAATGGAGGATTTCTCGGACTCTGAAAAGCTTCACCGTTTGACCAAGGTTTCTTGGTGTCCTGGCCTTCCCCTATCCCCTCGCCCACCGCTCCTTAGCGCCGGGTGAGCTGAGACTCCCCTGACCCCCGCCCACACATGCGCGCGCGATTTTAGCCGGACCTCGAACAATTCCTCCCGCCCCCCCATCGCGTAAAAATGGCCGAAAAATGGAACGTTAACGCTTATTTTTCGTCTTGTGTCGTGGATGAAGCCTTCTGCCATACGCTGCAAAGCAGGCGATTTGTTCTTGTGTCAAGAGTTAGTTCACTCTCCTTTTCTTTTTATTGAAATGTTACCACTCTAAGTTCCTCTGGAGAGGATCTTGTGGTTGGGACCTTCCGGTTACCAGACAAAGGGTTTGGAGTACCACGGTGTAGTCGCCGCATCGTTGTTCTTTTCATTGCCCGACTATGCCATGTTTCTGTTCTGCCAGGGCTTCTCCCATCGACCGGGAAGCGGTATCGCAGGGTATTTTCTGCCCTCTGCCCTTTCTGTATGGAATATTCCGATTGGATCGGTTACAGTTTTCCAGCTAGATATTTCTAGAACGGTTATGGCGAATCTGAAATTTCTAGTCTTTAACGCGCGCTAGATTGAGAGTCGTTGAGCTCACAGGTCGCAGTCACGGGATTTTATATCAATAACTGAGTTTTACGTGTTAAATAGTGGTTTAAGATTCAATAGTCTGTAAAAACAGTTTTCTCCCAGGAAAACATTTAAGTATATAACAGCAAATTCTGTTTTTGGCCTTTTTCATAGAAGTTCAAAATAAAATTTGCCTTTAAAACCTCAGTGGCTCAGTCATTTACCCAGTATGTTGGCATAATTTTCAACACTATTTTTAGAAATCAAAACGGGTAAGGTGGTGTGGCAAAAACCCTGTGTATTCTCCATTTGAGTAGAATGTTTCAGCAAACTTGACATTAAACACAATTGAAGTACTACATGAAGATGCTCCTGGTTGGTTATGTAATATTTGGAAGAGAGCTCACAAGCCTGAAGATGTTTGTATCGAAGTGCTTAAAATTTGTTTCTTCCTTTGCAGTTAACATTATATGCTTGTAATTTCAGTGTATGTTTATCCAGAAGGGAAGTTTTTGCTTTATCATCTTCATATGTGTCCCTTTAGGCTATGTGTTCATTGCCTTGCTTTTCCATGGCATTTTGGACTACTTTGTAATAATTGAGCTAGCTGCTCTTCTGAAAGAGTATATTGAAGGAATTTTTCCTACATACAAATTTTATTAATCTCTATAAGAAAGTATAAATCATCAATATTAAAAGTCTGATAACAAATTTTAACATTTGGAATGTGAGGGAAATGCCTTGCATAATTTTAGAAATAAAATGTAGTTCAGATTCTTACTGTGAGAGGAGAGAAAATTAAAGCCCAAGGGGATGGTTGTCTTATAGTTAATCTGGCAGTGCTGCTAGTGTGTTCCAGAAGGTTTGCATTTTGATTGGACACTTGATTCAGACTTCATGCTATAATAAATAATAATCCTAAAAGCGAAAGACTTTCACTTAAAAAGCACTTATCCTAAGCTAATATTGTGTCAAAGATTATAATGTATGTAAATTTCAATTACGATTATTCAACATATTAACTTAAAAGATGCAATATTTGAGGATCTAATTATAGTGTGACCATCGAATAAACCTCTATTAAGACAGTGCTTTAGGAGGAGAGAGATGTTGGGAATGGAAATAAAAGTATTATTTGGAAAAGAAATAAAACAAAACTTGCTGATACCAAATTTGACGTTTTTATTTTTAAAGGAATATGTCTAAAAGCTTAAAAATAGATACACACAGGAAAATGTTGCCATTATGGGTGATTGTGGGTCTTCACCTTAGTTTTTCTGAAATTCCCATAAGAACATGTGTTCACTTTTGTAATGAAAGGGGAGAAGTGAAACTTTTGAGGGGGGGGAGTCCATGCTGAACTGCTTAAGAGACCAGAATCTGTGTTTTGTTTTTTAGGCTCCTGTGTATTTTTTAGGGGAATTGAGATAGATGTGGGCCAGCTTATTGTAGTGCATAGCATTCAGAAGGGACAAAAAGTAGTGCTTGTGTAGACAAACATACATAGGGCTCTATAGACATTGTTATGTGAAATAGCTACATTGTCATTTAGACTAGTGTTAATTAGTTTACAATATGAGCGGTCATTAAGAGTGATCACAATTGAAGAATTTGGGGTTATGTTTGTTTTTTTGGATATTGAGACCATTTTTAGCTAAAAGTATTTTGTTTATATCTCTTTTACTTAGAATTGCATTAAAACTGTCCCCACTTAGGACAGCACATTCTAGTTTGTGGGAAGGGAGGGATATTGGAAGGGCAAGTAGGACAGTTTTATAATTTTGATTATGCATCCTTACTCCAAGGGTAATACTGTAGTATTTAAGTAAAGTAACATTTTTTTTAAAGATTTATTTATGCGTACAGAACTGGGGTGCAGAGGTGGTGAGAGGATTCACCAGAGACAGAGTGGGGAGCAGAACAGGCAGACTGTCTAAGTACACTGCTGAGGAGCAGAGCGGGCGGGTCAGGAGAGGTCTACCGCCTCGTGTAGTCACCTCTGGGGCAGGCAGGAATCGAACTCATGCGGAAGTGGCTTTAGCTTCTTAGTGCTGTGCTTCAACCCGGGCCACCAGGGAGGGCCATAAAGTAACATTTTTAATCAGAGCTAGTACTATACAGGAAAGGCAGTATAGTGTAGATTGTATTTTTATACTACCTAGTTGGAATTTCTTATTGGACCATTAGGATCAAAGAGTCTGAAATTCTTTGAATTATAAAATTTTGTATATAGAAGAGTTTAATAGATGGTTTGGTAGGTAACAGAGAGAAAAACCAACTTAAGAGAAATTTTTAAAAGATTTTAAGATTTCAGTACTTTTTAACTTTTGACTTACTGCTGGTCTTTTTTCATAAGTTTAAACATAAACTCACAAAGTGTATGTGTTTGCTGCCTTTCCTGATCAGAATATAATGATTACTGTGGCAGGTCTGAGTAGATGGAGTGCTCTGATGTGATGCAGATTCATTATAATTTTCCAATTGTAGATCAAGCTCTGTTTTCCTATATAAGTAAGCTCAGATCTCTTTGAAATTAAACAATTTATCTGTATGAATTAACAATGAAAGCTTAGGTAAAACTTTGATTTAAAATGCTTCTAGTTTCAAATACTTAAAGTTTAAAAAGATTATTACAAAGTTTTACACTTATTTAATATAAAGTAACTTGGTTTTTCCTCAAAGTATTTTAAGTGGTGATTTCTGACATCCTCCTTAATCATAAGTTCCAAATGCCTGTGGTCATTAGTGCAAGTCTTACGGCAGAAATGGGTTAGTAGAAAAAGAGGGTACTAGTGATGGGGTGGTAGTTCTTCCTGCGATTTCTGTTGGATACCCTGTGGGATAAGAGCAAAGTGAAAAAATTAAAATGACTGATAGGTGTTAATATGTGGGCAGACAGTAAACAAAATGCAGTAACTATGGCAGGTAATCAATTGATATTAGGCTCTAAATAGGATCTTTGATTTGCTGATAAAGATAACATCTGTGGTGATCTGTATGGCTACTTTTTCGCTTTTGTGGGGATTAATAGGCTATTCATTGCTCCCTTTTTTTTTTTTTTAAGATATATTTATGCATACAGAACTGGGGTACAGACCAGAGATGCAGGGGAGGTGAGAGGATGCACAAGAGACAAAGAGTGAAGGCTCCCAGAACAGACTGATCGATGAAGTACATTGCTGAGGGGAGAGGCAGGCTAGACAGGAGAGTTCTGCTGCACCACCATACGGGTCACCTCCCTGGCTGGGGATTGAACTTGTGCTAAAGTGGCTGCAGCTTGGGGCTACCTTCAATCAAGTGTTGTACTTTAATCTGTTGCACCACCAGGGAGGGCCCTATATCTCCCTTTTCTATACTCACTATATAATAGGAGAATCTATGCCATCTGTGAAAATTTAAAATCAAGTGTTTTGAGTGCCTGCCTCCTGCAGTAATTAGGAAGAGTGACATCAAGGGAATATATATATTTGCACTTCAAATATTCTTGCTGTGAGATGTGAAACCAGACAATTTTAATGCTTGCGTGTCCTTGTGTGAGACATGGTTTTCTGGAAAAGCACCAAAGAGGAGGGAATTTTACACTTACCAGGAGATATTTAAAAAGTAATTATAACAACAGTCTTAGTAATGTCAAGAAATTAAGATCACCCTAAATGTTCAGGTGTAGAATAAATGTGTGTCATTATGGTCCCAAAGTGCACTGAAAGTATAGGTTTAGCGCATGTTTTTAAAAGCACAAATAATACACCTTAATTCAATTTGTATGAAATTGAGAAATGTAAAATAAATACATTTTTAAGGCCATATTAAGTGGCAAGTCCTAACTAGAGAGAGTTAAGGAGGGAGGGGGATCACTGGAAATTGGCGGCTGGGAGGCATCTAAGGTCTCTGTTTCTATGCAAACGTGGTTATTTGCATAAACTGTCTTGTATAAGGGTTGATGTAAATGTGGGAGTCTTGGTCCCTAAGAATTACTGGTGTTACAGTAAGTCAATTATTTTGCTAATGATTGTATTTGCTCAAGTACTGAGCTTCTCTACCTTTTTCAAAAGGCCCATGGAAAAT